GTTGCAGGGGCTGGAAATACAGATGTGAGAGTTGCTGGACATGACAACTGAATGTGATTGGATCAGGTGTTGATTGATTAGATGTAAGTTCAACTGATAAAATAGTGACACCCAAATAATGGTAGCTTAAACCAGGCAGAAGCGCATTTCTTTCTCTCTCACATAATGATTCAGAGGTAAGCAGTCTGGGCTGGTGTGATGGTTCTGGGAGGTCAGAGACTTGGGCTCCTTCTGTCTTTTCTGCACCACCAACCCCAGGGTCATGACCTTGTACATACGGCTCAAGATGACTCAACACTACCATATCTGTACTTCCAGGCAGTGGGAAGGGGAAAAATGGGACAAATACATGAAATGAAGATACTGTAGGACCAGAACCCCAGTCCCTAGCTAGACATGTGGCTGCCCACAACAAAGGTTACAGTTCTTGTTTCCCTTCCTGATAAATGGCCAATGGGAGGTGAGCAAAAGACATGTAGGCAACTCCTAGTCTACTCTATAAACATGTTTGGAATATCACTATGTCCTTGCACACTGAGTCAGAGAGTGCAGTATTGTGAAAGCCAAATTAAGGAGTCTTCTGAAGACAGTTTCACAATGCTGCTGACAGGTCAAGGAGGATGAGCACTGAAGTCACTGACCCTCAGCCAGGCCGATTTTGCTCCCCAGGAAACATTTGGCAATCTCTGGAGACTTTGCTGACATTTGTCAACACTGGGGAGTGGAGGAGGATGCTATTGGCATCTAGTAGGTAGAGGCCAGGGATACTGCTAAATACCCTATAATATGTAGAAAAATCCCCCATAATAGTGATTCGGGACCCAAATGTCAATAGTACTGAGGTTGAAAAAGCTTGCAGGAGAGGATGAAGGTAGTTGTTCCCAAATTTTGCTACACATTAGAATCACCTTTTAAAGGAGCTTTGAAAGGAAATCCTGATGCTCAGATCACACCCACACCAATTAATTCAGTATCTCAAAGTGAGTTTGATTACATTGCCCTTTAACTATCTTCTGATTCTAAAACTTTATGAGAAATACAATCAAGTGAAAGCTATATTTAAGTTCAGATTTCCAGGTAGCTGACAGTGTCACTCCAATCCTTGTTACATGTGAAGTCCCATGAGGTCTAAGTCCATGGGGAAGAAACAGAATGGGGATTTCCATCTGTGTTCAGTGGTGAAGATCAATCAATATTGGATCTCTATGTCTCAAAAATTTTTGTATAAATTCTGCCCACACCAATACTTGAGAGTGGGCTGGGGGAGTTAGGGAAGATCAAGGTCTTTCTGGGTTATGTAAAAGCAAATATGTGACTAAGAAGAAAAAATATCTTTGCCCCACACATACCCATGTGACAGAGGTTTTTCCTTACTTCCCCCTTCCCCTCTCTCAGACAGTTTCAACAAAACAGGGAAAAATGGACAATGTCCTGGAACAAATGACTTTGTTTGAAAGGTGAAACCACAGGCTGGCATTTATGGGAGGACTAAGGGCACTACTGAGAGGCAATGGGGACGCTTGTTCGGACTTGTGATCATTGCTGAACCAGGCAGGGGAAGCCAGGCCCCTGAACTTTGTTTCTTTCAGCTGGGCTGTGAAAATAGGAGCTCGGCTCCCTAATTGCCCCATATGCTGGTTTTATTTGGTGGCTCAGCTGGGTGGAGTGAACTCTAGGAAGAGATGCATTCATTTTTAGTTACCTCACCAGATTGCTAATTTTCACTCTGGAGGCATAAATCACCATAATTACTGCAATCCCCAAATGGAGAGGTAGCTATTTTGGCACCAGGGCAGCAGCTAATCGCTGCCACCACAGCTCTTTGACCTGACGCTCTGGACCTGGAGAGCTTGGAAAAGAGTCCCACACAGCTTGCTTGCAGGACATGCTGTAAACTCATCCTCCTTCATCTGGGGGAAGAAATGGAATTTCCGGAGAAGCAATTGCTTTGAGTTAGTGGCAAGAGCATGCAGAGTAACACGGACCTTTGGTCCCAGCCTAACTGAACAGCTGTTTGCATGCTTGGCTAGCAAACAAAACATCAGCCCCTCTTTTCTCTAGTTTCTTCCTATCAACACACTTCTCAGCTTGGCTTGTATTTTGCATTTCTGTTGAGGAAAGCCTTAAAAGTTCCTAAAGCATTTCTGCAATCAGAAAACCAGAGGCTACAAAAATACCCTATCTTCTGTGGGGAGAGGGGTGGGGGGTTAATATACCTAGAAGAAAACGAAGTTCAAGGTAAGTTGTGACTTTGTCACCTATACTTGTAATATTTCTTTAAAAGACAATACCAACCAGATCCTGAAGCAGGATCACTTAAAGGATGATTAACTCATAAATAAATATGTGAAAACTCCTTACCATTCCTACAGAAGATGAGGTAGAGATGGGAGAATACATTTTTTAAACAAGTTCACATGATAAGTGTGTCTGGTTGTCTGATTTTTCTTTTCTCCTGACATTTTTAAGACAGCCTTTAAAGTCACAGAGTAAGGAGGGAACTTACCTGTGACAATAAAATAAAGCCTGTTGAGGAGGAACATTTTTTGACTTAATACCACAAAGCTTTGGAGAACTTAGAGCAAAAAATATCCATTATTACTGATGGCAGGTTGATGGCCTAAGAAGAGAGGGAATAGGTCAGGGACATTTTGGGCAAAACTGAGCCTGTGCTTGGACATTAGAAGATAAGGCCAACCAATAACAGAGGGCAACAGGAGGAACTGCCCGTGAGATGGCCTGGCCCTGGTCTGCCCTTCCTCTCCCTGCAGCTGCCCTCAGATGACAGGGAACAGATCTACTTTGCTTTTTGTCTTTCAATCACTTGCCTTCATGTTTAGGCAGCAGAGAGAGACCAGAGTAATAAACACAGCTCTGCCATCAGCCATGAGTGCAGCATTTACAGGATTCTGGTTCTTCCTAGGTGGTTTTTCCACTACCTTTCAGACTCCTAATGATCCTTTCCAGAACTTACCACAGTGCCTGGGCACAAAATAGATGATACTCAGTATACGTTTAATGCATTGATTCAAAGTTGGAGGAGAATTTTGAGGAAAAGTCAAACAGTGAAAAATGAGGGGAGTTTCATTATTTCACTTTCTCTGGGATCCTCTATCAGTGGAGGCCTCAGATGAAAGGGCTCAGGCCATTGTCAACAATGTCTTTAAGCTGGTTCCCAGGCTCTCTGGCTGGATCAGGGCCCCAGAGGACAATGAAGAAGGTGCCATTTTTTTCTAAAGTCTCCTTGCATTAATATTGATAAAAGTTGAATGGCAGTTACAGACTTAGAAGCAAATTATTCTGATTTTGCCTTTCAGAACAAAGATTCTCTAAGATCCCAGTTTTAGTCCAGCAGCAAAAGCCAGGGCTGTCTTGGTTATGACAATACCATTTTCTTTTGGTGACAAGAAGTCCAGTGATTTTTCTCACCAACTTCCATGAGGATGCCACTTTTCACCTATACACATTTAGATAATTTCTGCTCTCCCCCATCCAATCTAGGCTTGCTTAGAGGTTAAGCACTTTGTCCTCTGCATCATACCTCCCTCCAACCCCCAAGTGCTCACGGGACCAGCAGCTGGGACCAGTCTCAGGGACAGAGTAGAAATCTGTAATGTGGGAATTGTGGTTAGGGTTGAAGATGTGTATCAGTCTAGGAACAGGCATAAAAGCAAAACCTTTGTTACTACAAGGAGAGTGCTGGGAAATAATTTCTTATCCATCAGTGGGGTTGTGTGGGTAGTGACTAAATGTGGGTATTTGTTTTAATGTTTTTTTGGAAAAGGTAAATTATTTACTGGGAATTATCAAAGTAGGAAGAACTCAGAGGAAGAATCAGAGGGTACAGTTCTGATTCCTTAGGAACCTGGAAACACGCAGCTCTTGGAGGCAGTGAGAACTACTTCTCTGGGTTTTTCTCCATTTGCCATTCTTTAGTTTATGGTGGGATGTTGGAGGAAAATAGTCCAAAGGTGCAGCATTGTTTGTAGCCTAATGCTAACAGCAAAGGGTCTGATTTCCTCCCTTTTGATAGATTGCATGGCCACTCTGGGGAGCCTCCAGTTTCTTTACTCATCACACAGAGCAGTGTGGCGTGGGAAAATCTTTACCAAACCGTAGAGTTGTTACAAAGGGAAGGGGAGCTGAAGTAGAACTTGGAAGACCTGAGTTTGTGACCTCGGGTTCACTGCACACCTGGTATTTGGGGGAACAACTTCTGAGAGGACAAGGGTATTGGCGTCAGGAAAATTGGAGGTTGAGAAGTGGTTTTCATGAGGGAGAAGCTAGGTGGCTCTCTGGGGTCTCAGACTGAGGGAATCTGTGATTGACAGACCAACTTCACAGTGACCAGTGTTTCGCCTAGGGATTATAGTAACTGCTATTTGTAGTATGTTTACTTTGTGTCAGCCTCCTCGCTTAGTTAACTCATTTAATCATCACCTAAACCCATTAGAACAACATTATCCCAGTTTACAGATGAGAAAACTAAAGGCCCTGGAGCTTAATTTGCCCAAAGACTCTCAGCTAGTTAGTGGAAGTGCCAGTTTTTCATCTGTAGAGTAAGTTAACAGAACTGGATTCCATCGCCTGATAGTTTGTTACAGAGTCGCTGGAGATAGCCATTTGAGCCACGAAGTGGCAAAGTCCCGGGAATATAGGGATTCATTGTAAAGCGAATTTTGCCTTTTTTCAGACTTGAAAGCGGGTTCCTTTTTCAAGTCTTAGGAATAGCCGGGTCACGACCGCCCCGGCCACCCTTCCACAGACCACGGTAGCCCTCTGCCGACGTGGGGCGCGAGCGCGCTGAAAGTGAACGTCTCCGGGCCTGTAAGCGGGCCAAGAAGCTTCCTGGCCTTTAGAGGGCGCCTGCCAGCGTGCAGAGTAACCTACTCATCCGTCCCTTCCTTACGTACTTCCTGCCTGATTGATCTCTACGATCCATCCGGTGACGACACGAGTAGTTCCGGAATTTTCAATTTTACCGTAAACAAAGGGTTGTGCACCGACCCGGAAGTGCAAGCTGGAGCGGGGCCCAGTAGCTCCGAAAGCCCGCAGTGAGGAGGGCATGCGAAACTGTAGCCATGGCGGTGGCCGTGGCTATGGCGGTGGCTGTAAGCGGGACAGAGCTAGGCCCCGCGGAAGAACTCGCTAAGCTCGAGTATCTTTCTTTGGTGTCGAAGGTTTGCACCGAACTGGACAATCACTTGGGGATCAACGACAAGGATCTGGGTGAGCCTGGTGAGGTCCCTGCGGCCTCTGGGTTTGGGGAGGAAGGAAGCGGAAGGCTGAAAGGGGTTGGTGGGCTGAGTGTGTGTCCGTGTGTCTCTCTCTCTCTGACACCGAGACCCAGGCCCAGGGAACCTGCGGCCGTGGCCTCCGCTTGAGAGCCAGCCAGGCCGAGCTGATAGAAACCATTTCCAGAGCTGTCAGTGAAACCCGGAGCGGCCGTGGCTGCTTGCTTTTTTTTTTTTTTCCTTTCTTTAGCCCCAGGTAACATGATGGTGATGATGATGACGGTAATGATAATGGCAGACATTTATTGGCAGACACGCCAGATATTATGCTCAGTGGTTCACTTTATTTTATTAGGTCTTCACGCCACCCTGTGCGAGAGTATCATATGTTTCTAGATGAAGAAAACAAGGCTCTGAGTAACTAAGTAACCCCCCTCAAGGTCACATATCAAATGTGAGCCTGGTCTGGAATCCAGGTCTTCTAAAGTCTGCCTTAACTGCTCTTATTCATGCTATACTGTCTTTCAAACACCGGTTATTAGACATTTTGGGGCAAATTGTACATGTGGAGAACCCAAACTGAGGAATTGGAAAAGGCTAGGGTCCTGGAGCTAAAGCCACAGTCAAGTGGAGTCCTCCTGAACGTGAAGGGATGGATGGGATCAAGAGCAAGAGTGGAAAAATTGACCTTTGATAGGTACGGGTGTGCTCCATCCATTTTAAGAGGAAGGAGGACAGAGAATGTGGTTGTAGATGCAGATGGTTTTAGGGTATGGTGGTAGTAAGATGAGGCAGAGTTCCATTTGACTACTCTATTTTCTAAATGAAGATGAAGTGACAAGGGATGGGAGGGAAGGGTTAAGTGACTAGACGGGTTAGGGAGGTTAGATGTGTGACCTTTGGAATGATACTTAGTTTCTCTGAAACTATTTTTCATCTGAAATGAGGGAGACAATATATTTTTCACAGTGTTACCATATGGCACCTAGGAAGATGCCCTGCAGCTAGTATATTTTAGTTCACTTTTCTCTTGCCTTCTAGTCAAGATGTGCCTGTGCTCTATAATTTTTTATCAGTCTCTGTAATATGTTCCTTCATTTAGCAAACATTTATTGAGGTAGGGAAATAGGAATACAGTACAGATAGATTCTCACTGTCAGTTACTTTCTCTTTATTTTTAACTATTAATGCCTTGGCCTCTTTCAGAGGAAACAAAAAGTAATTGCGACCTTCCATGTGTAAAATTGTTTTGATGTTAACTTCAGTATGTACAAAAATAAAGTGAGGCATAAACTCCATGATTTTCTATTTTATGTGTAACTAAAGACCCCATTTAACTTGCAAATAAACCACAGATGTGCTTTTCTCTTTCCAGTTCTGACAACAATTATGATGTGTCTTCTTTCCAATATCAGCAAGCAATTCTGTGATGCTGGCTGGGTGTCCAACCGTTGAACTCAGATCCCACAGGTTAAGAGCTTAGGCTCCCAAGACACCTAATCTCAGGTGCCAGTTGCCAGTCCACATTGTCACTTGTGCTTTTGACCCCACTGGCTTTAGATTGTAGGTTCCAGTGATCCCTCTCCTTGGATTCAGTTAATTTGCTAGAGCAGCTCATAGAATTCAGAGAAACATTTTACTTAGTAGATTACTGGTCTCTTATAAAAGGATGTAACTCTTGAACAGATGGAAGAGATACATAGGACAAGGTATATGGGAAGGGGTGCAGAGCTTCCATGCTCTTTGAGTACCCCATTCTCCCTGAATCTCTGGGTGTTCTCTAGCAAGAGATTCTCCAAATTCCATTCTTCCGTGTATTTTTGGAGGCTCCATTATATAGGCATAATCTATTAAATCATTGGCCGTTGGTGACTGAACTCAATCTCCAGTTTCTCTCACCTCCTCAGAGGTCAGGGATGGGGCTGAAAGTTCCAACTCTCTAAGCATTTGTGTTGGTTCCCCCGATGACCAGCCCCCTTCCTCAATTTACTTAGGGGCTTTTCTAATGTTGTTTATTAACCTACAGAAGAGGCCTTCCTTACCCTCTACATGTAGGAAATTCCGAGGGTTTTAGAAACTCTATGCCCAGAACAGGGCATGAAGACTAAATATATATTTCTTATTATAAACAACATTGTCATTCTGTTAAACACAGAATTACAAAACCATAACATTATAAATACTAACATTGGAAAAAATGTGATAGTATTATTTTGTTGAAACTAAATTGCCAGAGTTGAGTTTAATAACAAAGAGATATATATTTACTTCTTTTAAGTTTTGGGTAATGGATTCTTTTGATTTTGACCTCGGTGTATTATCATTTCAGTGTCATTATTTTTCCTGCTTACGACAAAGAACTTGTTTTTAACTGTTAATCCATTTTCAATCAATTAATTTAATGATGCTCCAGTTTCTGAAAAAAAAAAATCCTGATAAATGACTGATGCAGGGAGAATATCCTGCCAGTTGCTTTGGGGTAGGCTCTTTTGAACATGCCCACCTAGCACGATGTGACTTCACTCTCCTTCTGTGTTTCTCTAAAGATTGTAGGCTCTGAAGTCGAATTGCTGGGTTCTAGTCTTGGCTCCACCGATGATTATTGGGTAGGTCAGTGTCTCAAACCTTCGGTTGCCTTATCCTATTAAACAGGGCAGTGATGGTACCCTGCTTATGAGGATCATGGGGATAAGCCATGTGAAGCCCTTAGTCTAGTGCCTGGTACATAGTAGATGGTCAAAAAGTCTTAACTGTTCGCATTGACTTGCTGTGCTTCAACTGTGTCCTTGTAACCTGATGACAATTGGCTTTCACTTAATGTCATCGAAAAGGTAAAGGCAATGGAAATGTTATGGTATTAGTAGTTTATAACTTAGTTACCCAGATATTCTATCTTAATACTATTATTTTTTTTTTTAGGTTTAAAACCCAAATGAAGTCATTAAAATTTTCTTGTGGGACTCAGTGTGAGGCTTCTTATTTCAGCCTGTTATAAAATGCACTTCTCTCCTGAAAGTCTCTTAGTTAATAAATAGCTCTAATATTAGAAATTCCAAGAACTAGGGAGGTTTGTAGAGAAAAATTTGGGGAGCATAGCCTAATATTAGAAATTCCAAGAACTAGGGAGGTTTGTAGAGAAAAATTTGGGGAGCAAGTGAGTCTGTCATCGACGTGAAGATTGTATCAGCCAGCAGCTTTTCCTGGTCCTCACATACAGTTTGGGTCTGTTCTTCTAGGAACTGTAGAAAGCATCCTACCTCACGTGTCCTTGTGTCTGCATCTGGGGGTTTGTGTATGTGGCATGCTCATGGCTCATGTTTTGGACAGTTACCTCTAGAGTCTATCTGGTGGTATGCACAGCTAGTAGTTTCATGAGAAGAGAGTATAATGATCTGGGACCAGGAAGTCTTCCTATCCCGAATGCGCTCAAGGGCCTGCTGAGCCATTTGGTAGTACTGTCTTACAAAATTTAACTATAACCATGCATGGATGATCTCGTAGTCTACATCCTCATTCTTTACTCTTACTGGATGGTGGTCTTTGGTTGTTATTACTGAATAGCCTAGTTTTTGTTTTTAACATATTTGAAACTGATTTCTTGCTCAAGTCTTTATTCTTGTTTTAATCCCTTTTCTCATTTGCAGCTGAATTTGTGATCAGTCTTGCTGAAAAAAATACCACCTTTGATACTTTTAAGGCTTCTCTGGTCAAAAATGGTGCAGAATTCACGGTATGTGTATTGAAGACCCGTTTTATTTTAATGTCACTATTTAAATTTTGGTAGGATTTAATATAGGATTTTGATAAAGGAGATAATTTGTACATTTTAATCAAATAACCATTAAGTGTGTAATGTTTTCATGCCACTAAGCAGTGATGATGTGACCAAACTTACTGTGACACCTTCTAGCAAAATGGGGGACAATTTCCATCATTTAGTCTTTATGGGTATTTACATTCGTGGTTTGTGAATCGGGAAGTAAAACAAGAGTCTGGGTTTTGGAGGTAGTTCTAAACCAATAAAATAGTTAAAGGGAACTAAATTACTTTTTTCCCCCAAGAGTCTTAAATCTCAGCTTTCAGTGAAGCTACTTCACTAGGTTTGTGCCACATCAAGTTGACACGCTATGCTTCATTTATTCCAGTTAACTAAATTCAGGTGCATAACCACCCTTCCTTTTCTTATTGTTTTTAAACACTGATCCAGGGGCTAATAATTTTTGTTGTGTTGCTTTTCTCAAAGGATTCTCTTATTAGTAACTTGCTGCGTCTCATACAGACCATGCGGCCTCCAGCAAAGCCTTCTACCAGCAGAGGTGAGCAGAACTTCTAGCAGAGCTTAGCCACCAGAAGGGTTGATTGTAATTTACATTGTAGCATCCTGTAAATTGCTTGTTTCCCTTGCAGCAGCTGCTGAGCAAGAAATGTTATAATAAAATTTTTCAAATGACTTAAGACAGAATTAAAATTATAAGATATAACCAACCAAATGAATATGATACACCCCCCCCAACACACACATATACATGCCCAGATAGTTTGTTGAGAGTTTTGTTATCAATGTTTAAAAAAATTTTTTAATTATGTTTACAGTACTGTGTGAGAGTAATATATAGCAAAATGTCATGTTCTGCTTTTAGTTTGATGGAAATCTAATGTGAAGTTCTTTTGTTAACCATTAAGAATATTAAGTGTATCTTTTTTTTTATCCCTTCATGCTTTTTAATGAATCAAGATCCGGTTGTTAAACCCAAAACTGAGAAAGAAAAGCTGAAAGAACTCTTCCCAGTCCTTTGTCAACCAGACAACCCTTCTGTTCGGGTACTGATACCATGTTTAGAATGTCTACTATAACTGCATGTTCCCCTCACCCCTTTTCTTTGTCTCCTTACTTATTAATTTTATGTTTGCCTTTATTGTAACATATTTTTCAAAGTGGAAGTGTTTGATCACTGCCTGAGCAAGTTCAGAGAATGATATTCCAGAGAAATGAGGTTGGGAATTGTAGGAAGCTAAGCTATGATTAGGGATATTAAATAGCTATGAAATAACTTAAGATTCTAGAACAGATATCTGTTGTCTGAAATTATATTTTTTGCTCCATTACATGTTAAAAGTTCTAATTTTTGAAGTGTTTTGAGTTTTTAATTTCATTTTTGCAAGTATTTATTGAGTACCTACACTGTTCTAAGTATCAGAATTACAGTAGTGAGCAAAACGACTAGAGTGTCTGCCCTCTTGGAGATTACATCCTAGTATTGAGGTGAGGCAGGGGTAGGAAATCAACATGTAAATTCCTTTAGTGGGGAAGAGCAAGGCAATAAACAAAGTGATTAAGTATATGATATAACTGATAGCAATAAAAACTATGGAGAAAAATAAAGTATGTGAAAGGTAGGAAGAGACCATAAAGGGAGAGTTTAAAAATTTTTGTAACATCTATTTTCTATTTATAATTATCACTTGCATGCTTTCACAAGAGGAGTGATATCTAATTGCCTTCCATAGGCTTGTATTAAGGACAAAGGAGATTTCTCAAATGTAGAAATGACTTTTAAGAGCCTTTGCTCATTTCTTCTGCCTCTGTCTTAAATTGTGCTGGAAATCTTTGTTCCCTTCTGTTTCTTTCACATAACTGGTGAAAGATGGAGGGGCTGTCAGATCTGTAGAAGTAGGTACCTGCAGTACGGATTTTTGAGTGACTTTTTTTTTCTCCCTCTCCTAACTTCGCTGGCCTCTGACCCTGTAGACCATGCTGGACGAGGATGATGTGAAAGTTGCTGTGGATGTCCTGAAAGAACTGGAGGCCTTAATGCCCAGTGCAGCAGGCCAGGGGAAGCAAAGAGACACTGAGCACCGGTTTGTCCTTAGTGTTCTATCCTTTGGAAGTTTAGGGTACTGTGATAGTTGAATTTTGTGGACTAGCCAAGCAAAATTTTGGGCATGTTTACAGAATCTAGACTGGCCATGTACCATTTGTTGGATCTATTTTTATTGCTGCCTGCCAAGAGTATTTAGCACATGCTGTTAAGAAGATAGAAATCTGAGTTTGAAAAAAGCTGAATATTTTTATGGCCTCATCCTTTATTGGCCTGCAGGGATGTCATGATTTTTGAAACCCTAATTCAGCTTAACATTTCGAAGGCACTTACCACACGCAGAGCACTGCTGGATGCTTGGGGATGCAAAGGTGAAATTGGGCAGGTATTGAAATTTTAAACAGGTGTTTGTTGATTTGTTAGGGACAAGACAAAGAAGAAGAAGCGGAGCCGAGAGCAAGATCGAGACCGAGACAGAGATAGAGACCGAGACCGAGACCGAGACCGAGACCGAGAAAGAGAGCACAAGAGGAGACACCGGTCCCGCTCTCGGTCACATTCCAGGACCCGGGAGAGAAATAAAGGGAAGTCTAGATACCGGTCCAGGAGCAGAAGTCAGAGTCCCCCCAAAGACCGGAAAGACCGAGACAAGTATGTGGAGAGAAGTCTGGACAGATGGCGGGATAAGCATGTGGACCGCCCTCCCCCAGAAGAGCCCGCCATCGGGGACATTTACAATGGCAAAGTTACCAGCATAATGCAGTTCGGATGCTTTGTACAGCTGGAGGGACTAAGGTAAAGGCTGGTGCTCTTCTTTCACACCAGTGATGGGCAGACTTTCATTTATCACCAGGGATGTTCACAGTCTAAAGTTAATATGAGTAATGACACTTAAATCAGTCATACTAGGTTGTTAGAAGTTGATTTGATACTTGAAATGTCACAGAACTATTTATTTCTTCCTCTGCCTTCAGGAGGTCTGCCCTTTTGCTGGTTAAGACAGATGAGAATTTGTTGCAACCCTCCCCCTCCAATATATCTTTTCTTTAGTCGTGGCGCTGGTGGATAGTATATTGTTTGACTACCTTTTGGTACTTCCCTCTTGAGTTTAAGACCATTTCCTTTTGTTCAGTTCCAATGAGAGTGGAAATCAGCTGGGGAAAAGGTATTTTAGGCATGATGCAGGTGTGTCTGACTTTCCCTCAGGAAGCGGTGGGAAGGCCTAGTGCACATCTCTGAGCTCCGGCGGGAAGGCCGTGTGGCCAATGTGGCTGATGTGGTGAGCAAAGGCCAGAGGGTCAAGGTCAAAGTGCTGTCCTTCACGGGGACCAAGACCAGTCTGAGCATGAAGGTAGGTGAGATATCCAGCCTGTTTCCATATCTGGTGTCCCAGGAAACATAAGAGGACAGCAAGTGAGCTAGCTCCCTTGTTTTTGTGCCATAGGATGTGGATCAAGAGACAGGAGAAGATCTAAACCCAAATCGACGACGAAACCTTGTCGGGGAGACCAATGAGGAAACTTCAATGAGGAATCCAGACAGACCTACTCACCTCTCCCTTGTCAGTGCCCCTGAAGTAGAGGACGACTCACTGGAGCGCAAGCGCCTTACCCGCATCTCTGACCCGGAGAAGTGGGAGATCAAACAGGTTGGGGCCCGTTGTTATTATGGCTACACAGTCATTCAGCACCTAGCGTAATGGTTAGGAGGAGTATGGGCCCTGGAGCATGATGGCCTGGGGTGACTTCTGGCTGCTGTGACAAGTTGCTCTGCCTCTTTGTGCCTCAGTGCCCTCATCTAAATCAGGGCCAGCATTAGCATGGTGGGGATTCAGTGGGTTAATAGAAGTGAGGCTCTTAGGTTAGTGCCTGTGTGTGCTAAGTGCCATGTAATTGTTCTTGTTTTCACCGTTATCAGTAAACGTCAGAACCGTGGTATGCCAGGCACTATGTAGTTGCCAGGGCTACAAAGGTGAATGTATTAATGGATCCCACCCTTGAGGAACTCAAAAGTCCAGTGGAGGAGACAGGTTGAAACAAGTAGTTGTAAAGCTTATATTACATAGTAAGGAACGTGCAGAGCGCTATGGCAACAAGGGAAAGGAGCAGGTAACACTTCCTGGGTTATGAGACCCTTGAGTCATGCTTTTGGGTATCATATTGTCCTGCCCCTAGGGATGGGATATATGATGTTTGAGGCCCTGTAATCCTGGGTCAGAGGAGAAAAAATCCTTGGTTTCCTACATGAAATCTCTGTATTAATTCTTCAACAAAGAAGAGTTTTATTCTAGTATGTTACAAATGCTCTCGCCTGCCTTTGGCTAGATGATTGCTGCCAATGTCCTTTCCAAAGAAGAATTTCCAGACTTTGATGAAGAGACCGGCATTCTCCCTAAGGTGGATGACGAAGAAGGTAACTAACCACTTGGACTGAACAGAATAATGGATCGGGAGGACAGCTGGCAAGTTGAGCCACTGGCTAGGGTGGTTAAACTCACTTGTTCCTTGGGTCTCACCACTCAGATCTTAAAGAACAAGGTTCCCTCCATGATGGCAGCCAAAAAATTCATGTTTCTGACAAACGTTTTATGTTGTTGCTTATAATAAGTCTCCAGGATATAGAAAGTTATCATTGTATTTTGGGAAGTAAATTTGATCTCATATTCTTAGTAATTGCTGAGAATTTCTGAAAACCCTGGTTCCACTGCATTACCTCCAAGTTGCCCCGGAAACAACTTTTAACTAAGCCCATTAACAATTTCTTAAAATTGTGAAATAATCCTTTCATGGAATTTATGTAATTTATATAACAATAATTAGTGAACATCTCCATATGTACCACCCAGCTTAAGTGGAACTTTACCAGCATCTTTAAAGCCCTTATATACCCAACTCTGATTAGATCTTCCTTCATCCTTCTCTGGGTAACAACCAGCCTAAATGTTGTGTTAATCATATCCTTGCTTTTCCTTGGTGTTTTATCATCTATATGTTTATTCTTAAACTTTATATTGTTTAGTTAGTCTGGCTTAAAAATTTTTTTTTATTCACCATCATTCTTTTGATATTTCTGTTGATTTTTACAGTTGTACCTCATTTGTTTTCACTATTATAGAGTGTTTCTGTATATAAATTTACCTTAATTTATCCATCGTATTTTTGATGGGCATGTGGGCTGTTTATGGGTTTTGTTTACCTTTATGAATAATGCTACTGTGAAATTCCTGTATTTGTCTCTTAATACACACGTGCAAGACCTTCTCTTTTTCCTAAATATGCAGAAGAATTACTGGGTAGTAGGAAATGTATATATTCAACTTTGTCGTCCAGTTTATACTTCTGCCTACCATAAGTGTGAGTTCCTGTTGCTCCATGTTTTTGCCTACATTTGGTATTGTCCAGTTGTCCAACTTAATTTTTTCCCCAATCTGTTGTGGGCTAGGGGTCATTCCATAATGAAGTTGGACAGCAAATGCTTTAATACAATTTAGAATGTCAGCATTTTTCCACAGGCTGAACTTCTTTTCAAAGTAGCTCTGATCATTTCTTGGGTTGGAGCCCAAATGCTCTAGAAATGGCTTGGGGGCAGAGAGGAACAGTCACCGGCATTAGAGTTTTACATGCATTGCTCTCCTTTTGACCTACTTTTGATAAAGATTGGGAGCTATCTTTGATAAAGATTGCTGGTGCCCATGGAAGTTAATTGTTTTGGCGAAAATGATTGGTTATTTTTTGTTTTTGGTTAATTCTTCTTTTTGGGGAACTTTTAGATGAGGACCTTGAGATTGAACTGGTTGAGGAAGAGCCTCCATTCCTGAGAGGGCACACCAAGCAGAGCATGGACATGAGCCCTATTAAAATCGTTAAGGTGAGAAATGCTGTGACTCTGGTGAATGTCTTTTCTTAAAGTAACAGTTCAGTGTGTAAGAGTGGGTTATTAGATGTGTGTAAACAGAACTTAGGCCACAAGAGTTAGTACTGACTGTTGGTCAGCATCAGTAATCTATTTGTTTTACAGGGAGGTTGACTTGGCTTTGCTGCTTTTTTGCATTTTTAATTCTTTTGCTCTTATTTTAGTGTGTTTAGGAGGAAGTAGAGATAAGCATGAGAAGCTTGATCTGCCATTATTGCCTTTTCCCTGCCTTAGAGCTTAAATCATTACCCTGTAGATTCAAAGGCAATTTTGAAGGGATCATTTGACCATTTGGGGCTGGCCCCAGTAGAAAGCAGTAGTCCTGGGTTTTGTGGAGGTCAGAGCTGTGGGAAAAGAATTCATGGGAACAGTTGGGATAAAATTTTAGGTTTGGAAAAGGGTATTTTAAAGGTCTGCCAGCCTAGCCACCCATACAATGCTTGTAATTCATCCATGGGTCCTCCCACAACATTCCCCCTGTGTGGTCTCACAGCTGCCCGACATTGTTGGTGGCAGGGGATTCAACCCTTAAGGAGACCCATTCCATCTTCAGAATGATCTGATGGTTAGTTCTTAGGCAGAGCTGAAATCTGTCATACTGAGGTGCCCATATGGGTCTTAATTTTAGTTCTTGGGGCCATACTGAAGAATTCTTAGCAATTTTCGTGTATGTCCTCTCTCTCTTGGGATTCTCATCTGCCAGCCAGTTCCTTCAGTTGTCCTCCATTTTCTCTGAATATGCTAGTCTATCCATTTCTTTCAGTTGGCTGTGTTGATAGGAACATTCTTCCAGGTGGCTCTCATTAGTTAGATTCAAGCTTAATATCTACATTTTAATTCCCGGGCATTTACTGCATGCTGAGCCCTCATCCTGATGTTGCTTGTTCTCTGTTGCACTAGAACCCGGATGGCTCCCTCTCCCAAGCAGCAATGATGCAGAGCGCTTTGGCCAAAGAAAGGCGGGAACTCAAGCAAGCCCAGCGGGAAGCTGAGATGGATTCTATTCCCATGGGACTCAATAAACACTGGGTTGACCCTCTGCCTGATGGTAGGACCTTCGGAAGAGGGTGTGGACTTAAAAAAAAAAAACAGCCTTGAACTACATCGGGTCAGTGGGGTACTACCAGCATGTACTGAAGATTTAGCCTTGGCTTTCATGATTTGGTGTTTCCCTCCAGTTAAAACATGTTTTTTGTTCTGTTTTTAAACAAATGTTTAATTGATTTGGTGTTTCCCTCCAGTTAAAACATGTTTTTTGTTCTGTTTTTAAACAAATGTTTAAAGCCAAAAATGTTTTCGTAACCCTCGTCAAATCATTAGATTGATGGGTTTTTCTTCTGAATAACTTTAAAGTTTTTATACTAATGATAATATAGCTTACCTCTTTGTATAATTCTTTGTGCAGTAAATATTAACTTCTGGATACAGTTGTATCAAGTACTTAGTAACTTGTGTTAGGCAACTTGGGATACAGCTGTGAAGAGAACAGACGTGAACTCCAATCTTATGACACTTAAAATTTAGTGAGGAAGATGGATATTAATCAGGTTACCAAACAACTAATTAATTATTATGACTAGTGCTGTAGGGAGAAGTACAAGTAGCATAGTTGGCTATGGTGGGTCATTTCCCTGGGAAAGTTGAGACCCACTGGATAAATAGGACTTAGTCTGTCAAAGGGGATGGGTAGTGTGTTCTGGGCTGAGGAATAACGTGTGCTGGGGCTGTGAGGTGGGAAATAAGACCTATGTGGCTGGAATACAGAGCGATGTGTGGCATAGTGGGGGATAAAGTGTGGCAGGCCAGGACTTGTAGATGGCAATAGGAATTGGGGCTCAATTCTAAAGTTCTGGGAAATGTTGCCAAGTTCTAATCAGAGGAGTGGCATGATCATAGTTGCATTTCCAAAGGATTTTTGAGGGTGCTCTGCAGAGTGGATTGGGTGGAGCAAAAGCAGACACGTGAGATGAATTAGGAGGTTTTTCTAATTATTCAGGGGAGAGGACGGTGGCTGGGACACAGAGGTAACAGAGCAGAGGGATATACTAGAGAAATGTGATTTGCTGAATGTAGGGGTGGGACAGTGAGGTGGCTTGAGGATAATGCTAAGATGCTGTTTTCCCTTGCAGCGGAAGGCAGGCAGATTGCTGCCAACATGAGGGGTATTGGGATGATGCCTAACGACATTCCTGAATGGAAGAAGCATGCTTTTGGGGGAAACAAAGCTTCTTACGGAAAAAAGACCCAGATGTCAATCATTGAGCAAAGAGAGAGCCTGCCCATTTACAAACTGAAGGAGCAGCTGGTCCAGGTGAGAAGCCCCTTTAGAATGTATTGGTGGGGGGAAGGGGTGTTGCCTAAGGAAGGATGACATATTTTAACAGAATTAGCTGACAGGTATGTGCACATTTGAAGTGGCTTTTCCAGAGGGGATAGGAAAAAACAGAACATTTCCTGGTTCTTAAAAAAAAAAATCTAGTTATCTACTCATTTCCTTTCCCTATGAGGAAACTAATCTTTTTGAATTGGGGGACCCTAGAGTAGTTGCAAGTAGGCAGAGTATTGTATAGTACAAATCAGCAGCTCTGGTCAGTAAAAAAAAATGGCGATTCCTGGCCAGTGATCCCATAAAGGCAAAACTTTGCCTCAGGTATTTACTTCCATTTTATGGAGATCTGATTTTAAGACCAGCAAACCTTCCTGAAGCAACCGAGTTTACTAGTCCCAGTGAGTCCTTTCAACAATATCTTCTATGTATACATATAGACATAAGTTTTATATGTACTTTATCTTACACATATACAAGGAAGTACAAATATGCATATATACATACAGACATTATAGGTTTTTTTTTATTAAGGTATCATTGATATACA